AACTCCTGGACTCAAGTGATTTTCCTGCCTCCACCTCCCAAGTAGCTGGGACTACAGTCGCCCAGCACAATGCCTGGCTATTTTTTGGTTGCAGCTATAACTGTTGTTTGGAAGGCCAGGGCTGGATTCGAACCCACCAGCTCAGGTGTATGTGGCTGGTGCCTTAGCCGCTTGAGCCACAGGTGCTGAGCCGTGATTATGCTATTTAAAAGCTTATCTGTTAGAGATGACATGCTGAAGTTTTTACAAATGAAATGATAAAATATTTTTTAACTGCTATTAAAATACTGTAGGAAAAAAATGGGAGGGTAGATAGACAAGGTATCCCAGTTGCTGCCATATGTAAGAAAAAATATCAAACTCATGTTGTATTTTATATTTTTAATATTTACGTATCCACGCATAGAGAAATATTTTGTAAATATTTTATAAAATTTTATAATGAGTATTTTGTGAATGAAGGTACATTTAGCTGCAATTTCCCATTTCTTCATATATGTATGTTGACCCTTGGGACACCCTGTATTAAGCAAGAATGGTACAATGCTGAGAACTTGAAGCTGGGTGATAGAGACATGGGATTTGGTATATTACTCCTTCTACTTCTGTATTTATTAGAAAATATGATAAAACATTTTTATTAAAAAGAAAGAAAACACATCCCAGCTCATCATTAAAGCCATTCAAGGACCAAAAAATGACAACTTGTGCTTCCGAAGGCTGAAACGGAGCTCTCCCTACAATGACAAATAGCTATGGTAAAGTGTCCTAATTTGGCAAGACACACATGTAAAGGTAATAAAGACCGAGGTGATTAGATGTTTTTATGGAGATTGTTACAAACTGAAATGGAAGGAAGAAACTCTAGGATAACGCCCTGGCAAAGAGCATGGAAGTGTGGCTTGGAGGAGAGACCACCGAGATGTTGAGAGATGCTTCAGCCAAACAGAACCACAGCTCCCTGACATGCTCAGCTCAAGGGTCTTTTGCCAGGGCTGCTAGAATGTCCTACTGGCCTGGCCACCACCTGACAAATGCTGCCCACTACCTGCCATTCTGAGATCAACCTCCTGCAGCTCACCTGCTGGGTACCCTATGCCTACCTGCTGTAAGCTGATACCCATATGCTGCTCAACTGTTCTCACTGGCTCTCAGACTGAGCCTGCTCCCTGAAAACCCATACCCAGCCTGCTGTAGAGGACCCGTGGGTGCTGCTGTTAGTGGCTAGGTCCTTGCAGAGACCCAGTAACAGGCCACTGCATACCCTCCAGGTGGTCTGTGCTCCAACATCTACTGTCCCTTCCTTTGCTCCTTCCTGAGTTCTCTGGTAGACTCTAGATGCCTCTTCTCTGTGGGCTATTTGCCTGCTCTCTGAGATATAATAAATAAGACTTTGAATTAAGAAACTTCATTTTTATGACTTAGCAAACAACAAAGTAACAGGGCAGAGAAGAATTTGCCAGTGACGTGTCCCAGCACCCTCACATTACTCCCCCTTGGTGGAATCCCCGTGTTACTTCTCCTGTCCGTTCTTTACTACAACCTCTTTCCTTCCCCCTACCTTGTCATTTCACTTACCAGCACCAGTCTTCCCTCTGTGCTCTCCATATTTATTTCACTCTACCCTGTTGGTGCCATGAGAGTGGCAACTCAGATCTCCAGCTGGCCCACAGCCCCACGCTTGGCAGGGCTGCTCCCACCCCACAACTGAAGGTGGCAGGGAGGCTGCACAGACTTGTTGCTGGGGGATGTGGGACTCTTCTGATCATCAACTTTGGTTGATACCCACATGCTGCTCAGTCCTCAGCCTCAGGCCTTTCCAGGGGCTTTATTCCCAGAACTGCATTGCAGTTCCAGATGCTTCCTTCTTAACCTTGGGTCAGCCCTGCATTGCCCTCTGATGGCTCTCCTGCCCCACCCAGACAACCACTACTCTTTCCCCTGAGAAAAGCAAAGGCTGTGGTTTTAGCAGACTGGTGCTCACGCTCTATTTCTTTAGCTCTACCAGTTCTCTTCCTTGTCTGAGCCTGCGTCTCTACCTGCCAGTTGGAGATCTGGCTGGCTGGGCCAAACCCCCTGTGTAGCAGTGGCTGGATGCCTCCTAAAACCTGCTCACCATCCTCTCCTGTGCCACTAGAACCTCTTCTTTTAAGTGGGCACACGGACACCCAAAATAAAGACTGCATGTACCAGCTCTCCTTGGAGCTGGGTGCAGCCATGTGACTAAACCTGGCTAATGGGGTGGCAACAGTAGTAATCTGAGCAAATTCTGGGTCACGTCCTTAAAAGGAAAAGGAGTTAGGACTTCTTCCTACTGGCTAGAGTGTGGGTGTGATGAACCCAGTTAGTTCAAGAAGAGAAGCAGAACTCCAGGGAGACAAAGCAACAAGGTGGGAGCAGTCTAGGCCTCTGACAACTCTGTGCAACAGAATTCTCTTACCAGCTTGGATTTTTATGTAAGAAGATATCAACTTTTTATTCTTCATTTCTATTTTTTTTTTTTTTTTGAGACTGTCTCACTTTGTTGCTCTCTGTACAGTACTGTAGCATCAGCTCACAGCAACCTCAAACTTCTGGGCTTAGGTAATTCTCTTGCCTCAGTCTCCCAAGTGACTGAGACTACGGGCACCCACCCCAAGGCTGGGCTATTTTTAGAGACAAGGTCTTGCTCTGGCTCAGGCTGGTCTCGAACTCCTGAGCTCAGGCAATCTACT